ACACACAACAGGCAACAGACATCCCACTACAGACATCACACTAACAGACACACACACACTAACACTAACATACATACACTAACATTAACATACACACTAACACTAACAGACACACACACTAACACTAACATACACACACTAACATACACACACTAACACTAACATACACACTAACAGACACAAACACTAACATACACACACACACTAACAGACACACTAACATACACACACTAACAGACACACACTAACACACACACACACACACACTAACATACACAAACTAACACTAACATACACACTAACAGACACAAACACTAACATACTAACAGACACTAACATACACACACACACACTAACAGACATCCACACACACACACTAACACACACACACACTAACACTAACATACATACACACACTAACAGACACACTAACAGACATCCACACACACACACACACACTAACATCCACACACACACACACTAACATACATACACACACTAACACTAACATACATACACACACTAACATACATACACACACTAACATACACACTAACAGACTTCCACACACACACTAGTGTTTTTTTTTTGTTTTTTTATTTAACCCCCCCCAGCCTCCTTACCTTTGGTAATGCTGGGGGGGGTTCTTCCTCTCCCTGGGGTCCAGTGGCTGCAGCGCTGGGCGGGCGGCCGCCGAGGGAGCTCTTCCCCTGAGCGCTCTGCTCTGCTCAGCTCCCTCACGCGCCGCCAGCAGAGTGAGGCTGGGAGCCGGAATATGACGTCATCTTCCGGCTCCCAGCCTCACTCTGCTGGCGGCGCGCGAGGGAGCTGAGCAGAGCGCTCAGGGGAAGAGCTCCCTCGCCGGCCGCCCGCCCGCCCAGCGCTGCAGCCACTGCCGCCCAGCGCCCAGAATGTCTGTTAGCCGCAAGGCTAACTAGGCATTTGCCTTGGGCATTTGGGGGGCGGCGTTTTTTGCCGCCCCCTGAAAAATGCCGCCCAAGGCAAATGCCTTGTTTGCCTCGCGGCTAATACGCCCCTGTTCCTATAGAGCATCTAAATCAGATGGTCATGGCAGGGTGCTCAACCCAAAAGGAATCTACTCTGGACTCCAAAATGTCAGATATTTTGTATAGCAATGTCAATTTAATAATTTTTATTTTTTTTATATAGAGCAGATATATGATATGCATTGTGAGTACATACATAAAAGCACTCTCACTTTGATTATTTAGTTATGACACAATGTAATTTTTTTTTTTAAATTTGAGTTTATTGGTTTTTTTTTGACACAAAGGAGAGTAGGGAGTGGGTACAGAAGGAAAAAAAGGGTAGGGTAAGGGGTTCAGGGTTACAGTACAGCGAATCTGATACATCACAATGACATTCACATTTCATGTTAATCACCGTCTAACTAGGTGCGCAGTTATTTGGGCGTAAAGTAGTTGCTGCTCATCCCAAGTCAAAACTGGCACTACCTATACCCCACTGTTCACCCTCTAAGTGTATCTCGTCGATGAGGCCATGGAGCTATCAGCTTCTTGCGTGCGCTGAGGGCGGTGCTCTAGTTATTTCTAGCCTATTTGTTATGCGATCTGCTTGTATGTCGCATACCTTAACCTTGTAGGGCGTTTGGGGGGGGGATCAAGGAGGCTCAAGGTTTGGCCCTCTTGCTTTTAAGGTCTTACTGTCCCTCCACTGGACGGGGTTCCCTGCCTACTCTGTTAATGCCTCCTATGTATCCCTGAGAGGTGTGGAATTCTGTGAGGTATTGCACAGGTGACCAGGTAATGCTCTGCCTGAACCTTCCTAAACAAAAAGTGAAACCGAAAAAAATAAGGTAGAATATAGTGTAACAAAAAACAGTTTAACAATTTAACGTGAGGGAGACACAATCTGATTGCTATCCAGCATCTAGGTGGAGGCCGAGGGGGGGGGGGATCTAAGGCGTTCCTTGCGCTAAAGTCCCTGTTTTTTTTTGTTTTTTTTAGAAATATAATACCGTTAGTAACAGGTGTGTGTATGATCCGGGTCTCAGGCCGGATGATGGTTTTATGGAGGCTGAAATTGATAGTGGCGACACCAAGGTTCCCAGGTTTTAGATATTTTATGTTTTTGGTTAGGAGTTATCGCAGAAGAGATATCATACACATAATTTAGTCGGATTTTGTCCATGAGGTTCTTTTCAGACGGGCAAATGGTTGATTTCCAATTGAGCGCTATGAGAGCCCTAGCCGCCAGTATCACCTGTGCGGCCAGTCCCCTCTCCTGCTTCGTCCAGCTGGGGGAAGGTCCAACCAAAGGCAGGACCCAAACTCCAGCGGGAGAATAATATCTACGTTGCTAAGCAATCTTGCGACCACCAACCACAATGGCTGAATAAGGTCACATCCCCACCATATGTGGAGCATCGTGCCTCTTTGGGCTCGGCACCTCCAACATCGGTCAGAGGTGTTTGGATAGATTTTGCTGAGCCTGTCTGGTGTCAGATACCATCGGTACATTAGCTTTCTGTGAGCTTCTATGTGTGAGTAGCACGCAGTGTGACCAGTCAGTGCATTAACCAGTGCTAGCCATTTGTGGGGAAGGAGAGTTGTTCCGCTTTCTTTTTCCCATTGGGACATAAAAGACAGGGATGGGGAAAGTGGGAAGTTCGATATTGCTTTGTAGCACTTTGAGAGCAATTTAGGCCTAAGGGGACATTTCCAACATGACATAAGCAGGTCGCATTGCTGATTTGGTTCTCCAGCCTTGCCCTCTAAGGTCCTATCGACATGCTCCAATAATGCACTTTTAATTTGGAGGTAAGGGAATATGTATCTAGGGGCTAGACTGTACTTCTGTTGGAGGTCGGCAAAAGGAGTGATTCCCGTACCCGAGAGTAACTGGGAGATACTAGTGATGCCCGCTTTCGCCCATGTGGATAGTGGGAGCCATGGTAACACTGTGGACATGGCGGTCAGTGGAGCCAGTCTATGGAATCTGGAAGTCTTAGTTTGAAGTGCCTTGTACTTATCCCATATGTGTATGGTTAGTTTCGTTGTTGAGAAGAGTGTACGTGCTTTCCCCCGTTTAGCTGGTGGGGACCACATATACTCTAGGAGGGTTTCCTTAGGCCATTGTTTGCGTTCCATGTCGACCCAAAGTAGTCGTCCCTTGTCTGCGTGAAGATTTACTGCTTGGGATAGTATGGCCGCCAGGTGATACATGGCCACCTGGGGTACCCCCATCCCTCCCATCTGGAATGGTCTATACAATGTGGAACTCGCTACTCTCGCACGTTTGTTTCCCCATATAAAGTTATTAATAATGGACTGGGCTTTCTTGCAAAAGCTTTGTGGGATAGGTACCGGTAGCATACGAAATAAGTACAGTAGTTTAGGTAGGGCCATCATTTTCACCGCGTTGATTCTCCCTGCCCATGAGATCATCACTTCTTTCCATGAATTCAGCTCTTTACGGATTATTTCTAAGAGAGGGACATGGTTTAGTTTGTATATAGTATGTATTGATTTGGCAACTCGCACTCCCAAATAGGTTACCGACTCCGTCCTCCAATCGAAATCGAAGGTCTTTTTTAATTCCTCAGCATTCTGCAAGGGGAGATTAATAGGCAGGGCTTGAGTCTTAGCCGTATTAAGTTTGTAATACGAGATAGAGCCAAAGGTTTGTAGGATGGGCATGAGGTTTGAGAGTGATATCTTTGGCCTCGTCAGTGTCAGCAGAATGTCATCAGCGAATAATGAGAGTTTGTATTGGTGTTCGCCGACAGTGACTCCGTGAATGTTTGGGTCCTGCCGAATGATCTGGGCTAAGGGTTCTAGACATAGTATAAAAAGCAGGGGGGACAAAGGACAACCCTGTCTCGTTCCGTTCGAAATTGGAAAGGGTGTGGAAACGAATCCTGCGTTGGTGACACTAGCTTCTGGGGAGGAATATAAGGCCATAATTGCTGTTATGAATGCTGAAGGAAAGCCAAATTTATTTAGTGCCGATTTCATGTATAGCCAATTGAGCCTATCAAAGGCTTTTTCCGCATCTAATGCGAGCAACAGTCCTCCCAGTTTGTTAGTGTTGAGACCCTCCAGGACATTAAGAAGAAGCCTAGAATTGTCTGAGCCCTGTCTGCCTTTGACAAAGCCAGATTGGTTATAGTGGATTAGAGTGGGGAGTAAATGTTTGAGTCTAGTCGCCAGAATTTTTGCATATAGTTTGGTATCAATATTCAATAGGGATATCGGGCGGAAATTAGCGCATGCTGTGGGTTTTTTACCTGGTTTGGGTAGAGTGACTATGTGAGCTCGTAGCATTTCACCAGGTAATTTACCTTGTGTGAAACCTTGGTTAAACAAAGAAATTAAGTGTGGTGTAAGAGCAGTTTGGAAGGTTTTATAGTATATGGAGGAGAGTCCATCTGGTCCTGGCGATTTAGAATTGGGTAAATCTTTAATCATTTGTGTAACTTCCTCAACGGAAATTGGTTTAATAAGGTCAGATATCTTATCATTGGGCAGCAAGGGTAGCTGGACCTTCCCTAGAAATTCGTCTATCTGTTCTTGTGTGGGTTGGGGTGTCAGGTTATCATCTTTAAGATTATAGAGTGTGTGGTAAAACTGAGCAAATTCCTGAACTATTTTATCAGGGTTTACGATTTTCTGACCCTGGGGGTTGTGAATGTAAGCTATTTTAGTTGCGAGGTTACGTTTTTTAAGCCTGGAGGCAAGTACTTTCCCTGCCCTGCTCATAGAATTTGGCTTTGAGACGCCTTAGGAAAAAGTTTGTTTTAGCCACTTCCAGTTCTTGTAATTGCGCACGTACTTCTGTAATCTCCCTAAGGTGCGTCTTTGAGGGTGTTTGTTTATTACATGTGTTTAATGTTGTGAGGCGGCTGGTGAGGTTTATGTATTTAGCTATACGCGCCGCTTTGACCCTGCTCGCGTGCTTAATTAATACACCCCTAATGTATGCCTTATGGGCTAACCACATAACTTCTGTGGGTGTGTTTGGTTGAGAATTAGTCGAAAAGTAGACCTCCAGTTCCCTATGTAGGTCTTCTAATATTTTGGGGTCGTTGAGCAAGCTTTCGTTAAGCCGCCAAGTTCCTCTCCCTTTAGCAGGGAATTGTTCATTCAAGTGGAGAATGATCGGCGCATGATCCGACCACGTTATAAGGCCTATAGTTGTGTTGACCACGTTGCTAATCAAGGAGGTAGGTATCAGGAAGCGGTCTATTCGGGAGTACGAGTTATGTGCCACTGAGTGAAATGTGAAATCCTTTTCTTGCGGATGTGTCACCCTCCATGGGTCTATAAAATTCTGCTCTAAGAGAAGTTGGTTAATGTGCCCGGAGGTTGTTTTCCTGCCTGTTTCAGTAGATGCTTTCACTGTGTGCGAAGAAGACGTGTCTAGTTGAGTATCTAGAATAAAATTCGTGTCCCCACCTATCACTACCTCCCCCAGTCTGCCTTCATCCATGGCATTAAAAATATTGAGGAGAAATGCGGCCTGTGCTGTATGAGGGCCATAGACGTTAATTAATGTGTATGGGGCATTATTCAGCAAACATTGTATAATTAAGTATCTTCCCTGTTTGTCTGTACGTTTTTTTACTAGTTCAAACGCCACATCCTTCCCAATAAGGATCGACACTCCCCGCTTCTTTTTAGAGAAACAGGAGTGAAAGTCCAAAGGATATAGAGGTGAGTTAAATTTAGGTCTTTTACCCCATTGGAAGTGCGTTTCTTGGAAGAATGCAATTTGAGCTTTAGCCCTTTTCGCTTCCAATAGTGCCAGTCTCCGTTTATTCGGGGAGTTGAGCCCTTTAGTGTTCAAAGTTATAAATGTCAACACCATTTTACATACAACCTACTATGCTGTCCAGGATTGTTAGATTGTATTCTAGTCTCCCTTAAGTCAGTCCTCCTGTCGGTTACCCCCTCCCCGGGGCTCTGGGTACAGGTCTCCCTATATATCCGCATTATGAATCCCTCGAACAAGACAAAGAAAAAAACATGAAAGTATATGAACTTAAGATCAAAAGAATAGAAGAAACTTATATACAGTTGCCTGAGAACCGTGTGCCGAGCACACGGTAGGCAATTAGTATTGGTGACGTATACTGCATACGTCGTAGTGGCCTGGCTCGGGCCACTGGGGGGTGGAACGGTGGATAGTACCATCTATCAAATATACTATGTCACAGGGGACTGTCCTTATCCTCAGGGTTAACTTTAGACCGAGACAAAGATGCCAATTTCATAAGTCAAATTAGGGAAAGGACAGGCATTATGTATCACGGTGTTGCACCCTTCGTAGTACGGCCCACAGATCTGTTTGCATGAGTACATGTATACTATTAACGTCTGGGAATATGCTGAAACTGCCCAATTTGTAATCATATATATATATATATATATTTTTTTTTTTTTTTTTTTTTTTTTTTTTTTTTTTTTTTTTTTTTTTTTTTTTTTTTTTTTTTTTTTTTTTTTTTTATTTTTTTTTGTTATTATTTGGGCGCTAACTCCTTCACCTGTTATATTTATAACAACCAGTATCTAAATCACCTTCCCTCTCAGTCCAAGGAGAAAGAAGGAAATAGTGACAGTAAGAAAAAAAGTTTATGGCATGCTGTTCACTTAGCTGCGTCAATTCTGTGCCAGTCTCCAGCCAGTTTGGTTGGGCGTGCAGGGGTGTTCTTTTCCGCCGACTCTGGCTGCGGCAATGAGATGCTCCACTGTGCTAGCCCGTTCCTCCCGTCTTCCGGGTTAAGAAACACCTTCTCCACTCCATTTCTTCGTGCGATTAGGCACGTCGGAAAGCCCCATTTGTACGGTATGGACGCCTCTCTCAGAGCTTTGGTGATGGGGCCAAAAGCTCTTCTTTTAGCCATAGTCGCTGGTGATAGGTCGGTGTATAGCTGTATCTCCTTGAAGCGTTCTCCCAGATTCCGCGCATCCCGCGCCGCCATCATCAGCCTCTCTTTTACTGTATAAAAGTGCACCCTGACAATGGTACTGCCGCTGGCAGGCCTCTGGGTGTCAGCAGCCTGTGTACTCTATCTATCTGTAGCTCCTGCTCCGACGCTTCAGGTAGCAGTGCCTGAAAAAGTTGGGTGACATAACCTCTTAAGTCCGGTTGTGTAACCTCCTCAGAGATGCCGCGTAGGCGGATGTTGTTTCTACGGGCTCTATCTTCTAGGTCTACCACTTTTGTCTCCAGTTGTTGTATTTGAGATTTGAACGTGGTATAGGTCTCAGCCAGGGTGTTATGTGCCTCTATGACCTCCTCCATCTTGTCTTCTAGATGGGCCGTGCGGTCCCCAATTGCCTGTACATCTCTCTTAATGTCAGCCGCTAACTTTTGAAAATCAGCTCTCATAGTGTGTTTGAGGTCATACAGCAGGGTTCTAATGTCTCCCTCAGCGTGGGGGAAGTGTTGGAGGCGAGATACTGAGGTTACATCACTTGCCTCTGATTCTGTTGCTGGTGAATGCACCCCGTCGGCGCCATCTTGGATCAGTCTGCTCGACGGTGAGAGGGCCGAGATCTGCAGATCCGCGGCTTTTTGCCGCTGCTTTCTGGCTGATTTGCTCGACATCGTAATTCAACCGGTAGTTGGCAGCTGAGGCAGCCGTTTTTCCCGGTCCAATGCTGTGGATACACGCTGTTAAGGTACCCAGTCCGACGGAGCTAGTCCTTCACACGTCCAGCTCCGTCCGTGTCGTAGCCACCGACACAATGTAATTTTTGTAAAATTGTTTATCACTTAATTGATAATTGATCTTTGTTTTTTATCCCCACGTGATCAGCAAAGGTTAAGTACAGGAACGGAATCCGTAATAGGAATATTCCCAATAGAAATACAGCACAAAGAACAGGTTTATTAACCACACTAATTATTACTCACATGACTAGCAATTTAATTTGAGACAAGAGATTGCAAACAGGTAAATCCAGTTTTGCAAGCATGTAGTGATATACATGCTGTTTCTCTGTTTGCAGCTTTGCAGCTTCATTGTGTATTTTAAGGAACAGAAAGAAAATCAATTTTTCAGTAGAGTTCAGTAAAAATATTTAAAAGTTCATCTTGCCTAGTTAGTGCCAGCCTTACAACAAATTTGAGAGAGAGCACCATCAACATTTTCATTATTAACATTAATCACTGTACACTATCTAGTATTCTACGGAATCCGTTGGCGCTATATAAATGGAAATAATCATTCTAGTGTACAGTGTCCACCTGTGTCTTCAGCAGCCAAAAGGCAAAGTGTTGAGGCAAATGTATTATGGCTATGCAAAATGTATGTAATAGGACATATCACACATGCCGTTATCAACCAACGTATGCAAATACATCACAGGTCTTTATTACTAAGGGAAAAAGCAGAAAAAGAAAGCACTAAGGCAGGCAGCAAGTCCACTGGTATTGTATCTGATTATCTGAAACCAGCTGCCAGCAGAACCTCCTTCACTACTTCTACCAACACTGTTAGGCAACGCTGGAGGAAAGATGAGGATAGTGTCAGTAGTCAACAGAGCCAGGTTGGACAGGAGCAGTCAGACCCCTCACCATCCAATTAGTTAAAAATAAATACAAAGTACAAAAAAACTCATAAAAGGAATACTAAAATGTGGTGTCTCCATTTTTCATTTATACAAGAATGCAAAATAAAAACTAACAAATTATTATAAAAGTTGTGAGCAGTTGTTTGATGGATTGTACTGTACATGGCAAAAAATACATCAGTGATATAGTTGGGCCAAAACTAAAGTTTTCAGCACATAATTTGTTTCCAGGAAAATGTATCCTATATGATTCAACAGAATTTAAATAATTGTCATGTTGCTGCTGTGTGCAAAACGTGGTTGCAGGAAAATCATGTTATAGTGCTAGAAACATGAATGAATCCATTAGAAAAACTGAGGAAAGAAGGAAACATATTAGTAAGAAGCAATCAAGGAATACAATACAATTGACTAAAGCAATCATGCAATCTTAGCGTCACATTATAACACCTGAGGAACTAAACCACTTGGTTCACTCCTTGAGAACCGGTTGTAAGGCTGTATTTGCTACTAACAGAAATGGTGAAAAGTTATGAAATATGCTTTACCATGTTTTCTTTGCTAGGGATGTGCATGGGAAAAATATTCGGTTCGGCATTCCGAAATTCGGGGCTTCGGCATTTCAGCACTTCGGTTTAGCACTTTGGAACTTTGGCACTTTGGGACTTGGAGTAAGTGCAGGGTTAAGGTAGGGTTAGCTGTAGGGTTAAGGTAGAGGTAGGGTAGGGTTTAGGAGTAGAGTTAGGGGTAGGGTTAGAGGTAGAGTTAGGGTAGTGTTAAGGGTAGTGTTAGGGTAGAGGAAGGGTTAGGGTAAGATTAGGGGTAGGGTTAGTTTAGGAGTAGGGTTAGGGGTAGGGTTAGGGTAGGGATAGGGGTAGGGTTAGGGTTGAGTTAGCAGCAGGGTTGAGTTAGGAGCAGGGTTACGGTTAGTAGTAGGGCTATTGTAGGGCTTGGGGTAGGGTAGGGTTAGGAGTACGGTTAGGGTTAGGGTTAAGGTTAGGAATAGAGTTAGGGTTACCCTACCCTAACCCTACCCCTAACCCTACTCCAACCACTAACCCAACCCCTAACCCTACCCCAACCACTAACCCTACCCCAAGCCCTAATCCAAACCCTCTCCTGTTTTGCCACTTTTCAGAAATCTGAAGTACTTCGGCACTTCCGAAATTTGGCACTTCGGCAATTCGAATCAGCAATTCGATCACAATCATGATCTGCAGGGCTGGTGAAAATAGGGAACAGGGTATTGAGGGGCAGCAGTGAGAAGATAAAGAAGGGTAGAGTGAAAATGAGGAAACAGTGAACTGAGAGTGAAAAAGCAGAAGTTGGAATAGCTTAAGGGGTGACTTGGGGCAAAGTTTGAGAGTGGCTAGGTGTGGGGTCATCGGATGTTGTTATTTTTGGACCCAGCAAATACCCTGCCTACATTGCAACCCATCTATTGAGTGCTGGTCAGCAACATTTCAAGGGACCATCAGAGCAGACCCC